GATGCTTTATTCTGGCTGTTGCTTCTTTGGTTGCTTCTTTTAAACTATTATGTTTATAATAGTTTAAAATAACTTTTGGCAGTAGCATGACTTTCCTTGATTTGCTGAATGGCTTAAGTGAAACCCTTCGGTACATCCCGACAGCAGGACCGTGTGCGCCGCTTGCCAACTGATTCCTTTTCGTTCAACTCATGCTTTTGATCTTGCTGGAAACCACTGCCCCTACAATAAAGACCCTTGTATTGCAGGGCACAGGACAGCTGTACTTCCTGCCCTTTGTCTCCTTTGTCACATTTTTCTTCTCTAGCAATTGCTGACACCAGCTTCCTGATGGGAGAGGTGAGAGAGCCAGCCACCCCGACAGGTACACACTGGCCAAGAATTTCTGTACAATTTATGATCTATCTCCCTTGTTATTTTTTACTGCTCCACCAAGTTCCTAAAAACTAGCTTTGAAAATGTTGCATTTTGTCATTATAGGGCAGATACTAAAGGAAACTAAGCTTGCTGTGGTACATTATCCAAAAGCAATCAAAACACTGATTTCTCTATTTCCTTGACAGAGAGATTAATGTTTGAAATGTGTTTTGTGTAATGTGTTTGACAGTCATCTCTGCAACACATTTAATCTGGACAGGGAGTTTTAAAACCTCTTTGCGTTTTTGCGAAGACCTTGTGGGGAAGACTCAGGAGTGACTTTCACTACTGAGTGGAGCTTTATATGAGCATCCCAGTCCTTGGTCCAGTCCTGACACCATTGGTTTATGCCTTCAATGGGCTGCATAGTCCAAGCAGCAGATATTTATCTTGGGTCATATGAAATCTTTGGCTGTAACTCTAGGGATTGTCAATATTTTGTGAGGGATGGTTTCACCATGAGTAGAATGTGGCAGAAATCCCTCCTGCTTCAGCCCTTACCCCCTTTTTGCACAGCTTGGAGAAGCTGAATATAATTCTTTCCCGCTGACTATATTGCTAGTAATGGGTCGGGTTTGAAATGGGCTGCAGGTCGGGCAATAAATAAGCTTAAAGCAGAGTAAAAGTGATCATAGCTGAATCCAAGCAGTAGTTAATGATTAGCCTTTGATACAGATAATGATATGCGTTCTGCTTGTCAGCAGTATCTGAAAGTTTAGAAACTTTGATCTGTCTCAGACGTGTTGCCTGTTTGGAGAAGGCTGCTCTCCTGGAGGCAGCAGATGGAAAACCCATCTCTGCAATAGTAAGTACTCAGCTTATTTTAGCTCTGAATCGTTTCTGCTTTGGATTAAGAGCTCTGTGGCAGGCCAAGGGTTTGAAAGCTGGAAGAAAAAGGCAGTGTCTGAAGCTTTTTCCCAGAGTGCTTTATAGTCACTTATAACTAAAATAAAAAATCTCTTGATCGCTATTTGTTCTAGCTTTCTGTGCCCTAGAGGTAATCCTGTCAGAAGAGAGTCATGAGGCCAAGGCTCTTCCAAAGGCAAGTTCCTTCCCAGAGAATGGCTTGATTTGATTGCCTTTTCCTCCTTCTTGATACCGCAGGAGACGTTCTCCCTTGCTGAGCTGTCAAAGAGGGAAGGTGGGATTGTATTTTTACATTTCCAAAAGTTAAAATGTAGAGTGCTCTGTTCTATGGACTAGGACTCGGAATTTGTGCTCCAAACTCTTACAAGTATTTGTGTTACTACCTGGAAGTTATTATATGTAGGAAAGTGCTACTGGTAATATATATTCTGTCTTACCCATTTGCCAAAACAGAGATGGATTTCCTGGGCTTAATTAAAACCACAGTGGAGTGGATTTTGTTGCTGATGACCAATGTCCTACCTCACATTTTGCTCAGAAACAGCTTCGGTCTTCTCAACAGGTGTTTTGAACAATTGAAGCACAAAAGAATTTGATTCTTGGCTGTGGTATAACAAGCTTTTGTTTTGAGGGAGAACCACAGGTGGTGATGCAAAGTGAAACGAACACGCATTCATTTCCCTTCCACAAGCAGGGGAAATATAAGTATTTTTCTAAAAGTCAGTCCTGCAAACTATGAGGTCTTTAGTGAGAAGCCTACATTTAAAAGGTGATCCTGACACACCAGAGCAGGAGTTGGAGGTCTCAGCGTATTCCTGTAGGAGCTGACATCAACAATGGGCGGCTCTTGTAGCAATGTCTGGCATGGGCTGGAAGGTGGATGCTCCAGGGATGGGTAGTGGTTGGGTGGCTCCTTAGAGTGCTGCGTCTGCACATGGACATGCATCTAAGGAGTAACTGTAGACAAACGACTACTTAAATATGAAAAGAAAGGAGTGAAGTGTGCTCCTGGGATTGTTATTCAAGAAAGCTTTCACATGTGGTGGAAGCTAATGAAGGTGTTTCTCTGTGATGAGTGTGTGGCAGTACCGGAGGTGGAAAAATGTGTATGAATTGCTTAAACCAATACTTCTCATATCATAGAATAATAGAATGGTTTAGGTTGCAAGGGCCCTTAAAGCCCATCCAGTGCCACCTCCTGCCCTGGGCAGGGACACCTCCCACCAGACCAGGTTGCTCCAAGCCCCCTCCAACCTGGCCTTGAACCCCTCCAGGGATGGGGCAGCCACAGCTTCTCGGGGCAACCTGGGCCAGGCTCTCACCACCCTCACAGCAAAGAAGTTCTTCCCCACATCTCAGCTCAATCTCGCCTCTTTCAGTGTCAAACCTTTCCCCCTCATCCTATTACTCCCCTCCCTGATCCAGAGTCCCTCCCCATCTCTCCTGGAGCCCCTTGAGGGACTGGAAGGGGCTCTAAGGTCTCCCCGGAGCCTTCTCTTCTCCAGGCTGAACCCCCCCAACTCTCTCAGCCTGTCCCCACAGCAGAGGGGCTCCAGCCCTCCCAGCATCTCCGGGGCCCCCTCTGGCCCTGCTCCAACAGGTCCATGTCCTTACTTTTGAGGGCTCCAGGTGGGACCTCACGAGAGCAGAGTAGATCATATGTGTGGAAAGGATTCCTAAAAATTAATAAGGAGTTCTGAAGGGTGGTTTTTTTTGTATAGATTCTCAAAATATACCTGGAAGCCAATTCAAAACTTCTACAAATGTTGCCTTTTCCAGCCTAAGTCTGATTATGATGATGAAAAACAGCCAGAGGGGAAAAAATGAGCTTCTTTTCTGTGTGCAGGTTTGTGTCCATGGTTAGGTTATTATCAGCTGATCCATTAACTTAAAGCTGCCTTTGTTACCACTTTGCTGCAGTGCCTCAGGCATTGCTCGAGCTCACTGGAGGGAAGATCCCTCTGCCAAAGGATTCACAGGATGTTAAAGAACAGGAGCTTTTTAGTTCAACTACGGGATCTATAGCTGGTTCTGTAGATGGTGGCCTTGCTGTCAGAGTGCACAACAGCTCTCCCTCTGGGAGAACGGGTAAGTCCTTGGTGTGTCCAGGTTATCAAACTACATGTGCAGTTGTCATAGAACCGTAGGATGGTTTGGGTTGGAAGGGACCTTAAAGACCATCCAGTGCCACCCCCTGCCCTGGGCAGGGACACCTCCCACCACACCAGGTTGCTCCAAGCCCCCTCCAACCTGGCCTTGAACCCCTCCAGGGATGGGGCAGCCACAGCTTCTCTGGGCAACCTGGGCCAGGCTCTCACCACCCTCACAGCAAAGAATTCCTTCCCCACATCTCATCTCAATCTCCCCTCTTTCAGTTTAGAGCCGTTCCCCCTTGTCCTACTGCTCAGGGGGTGCTGACTGGGCAACCTGCTTGAGCAGGGAAGCTAGACCAGATGATCTCAGGAGGTCTCCTAAACCTCCTGGTGGTTCTGTGGGTGGTTCTGGGACTGAAAATCTTCACCGCAATCCTTCTGCGGTGACTTGTGGAACAAGGACAAGTAGGGTAAGATCTGGGAATCTTCTGTGAGTCTTCTGAATCATCTGTGTTGGTGGACTTTACGCTCCCTTTTACAAGGCCTGTAATAAACCAATGCCATCCATTTTATCACTCTCAGCATTAGCTTTATCTGCACGGGGCAAAGGTATTTATGGTGGGGCTCGATAGCATCTGTAATCTTGCACCTGTATTAAAGGCCAGGTAATGCACTTTTAGGGCCATTGAGTAACATTGACATTTTTGCAGCTGAGGAAACTTCTGCTTGCTTACTTGGGAATTCACTTGCTGACTCCTGGTTTCAATTTGTGTCTCCTAAGATTATTTTACAGTCCTACAAGGCTTAAGGCTAAAAGTCATCCTTTTAAATAAATCTGGTCTAAGGTGTTTATACTGTTCAGCCTGGTGTGTGTCCTTCCCACCTCAGCAAACCACGTAGCGATGGTTTACCAGGTGTTAACTTGCCAGTAGTACCTTGTCTTGCATCCTGACGTATCTCAGGTTCCTTAGAGATCACCAGCTTCTGCACGTGGCCACCGAATGGTCACAGCCACCACCACAGCTCCTTACCCTCTGGACAGAGATGCCCTTTCCCTGGGAGACAGGCTGGCTCCTTTTCAGACACACCAGGGCTGCGGGTGGGGTGAACCCGCAGGAACCCGGTTGCTGAATTAGTGAGCGTGATGGAGGACCGTGTGCACGGAAGGTTGTTTTTTTAATTCATTTTAAGATTTCATTATAAAAAAAAAAAAAGTCTATTGTAGGTAGATGAATGCATACTAGAAGCTGTTCTTGCTTAGAGCATATAAAATAGGAAGAGAAATTCTTCTCTAGGCCTGGGTTTCCTAAGGAAGCAGATGTTGTCTAATATGTCTTGCACAATATGGTTCCAAATACTAATTATTTTTTTTTAGATTAAAACGTTTTTTGAAGTGTATTGCAAGTCTCGGGACTCCATCCCCCTTGTTCCTCGCCGCGCGGTGAGGCAGCAGGCGGTTTCCTGCTCTCTGGCCCTGTGGATCCCATTTCCCTGCTCTCCATTCCGCTGCTCGGTTGTGTAACGTTCCAGCAGAAACCGCTGCCGAGGATAAGGAAGTGTATTTATTCAAGAAGTTACGTAATCTTGGAAAATTCGGGTCACGTGGCACTTCTTTTCTGTCTCCTCTGCCCTGATCTTGTCCTGTTCCTCCCCACCGGTCAGAAGGAGGGTTGGGCAGCTTTCTTCAGCTGACGAGTGAGCTCCAAGTGATTTTTAGCGAGAGGGTCCTCGTGTGATTTCGGACCGAAGGCCGCGCACGGTAAGCACCCCGCGCTCCGCTCAGCATCCCAGCAAGGCCTGGAACGCCACTGGGACTGAAGCCCTTCTGTCTTATCTCTGCTTAAACACAGCACTGGGAGGAAGGGGAGGCCTTCAGGTTTCTCCTCCCTGGATGCTGAAGACGGGGTATTTTGTGACATGGGGGCATAGCACTGTGTTACTGCTTCACACCCTTGATGAGCTGAGGGAGATGGAGCTGTGATAAAGCGCCCTGCCGGGCTGTGGTCCTGGGGTAATTGCTTCAGAAGCCTTTGACGTGCAGAGGGAGTGCTGAAGAGGTTCTTCTGTAGATGCCTTCTGGGAATTGCCTTTGATGGAAACTTGTTAGTACTAGCTCTCAGTTCAGGCTGGCGTTGGCTGTAATGAATTTTGGTGTCTGATGTGCTTTCGTAGGAGCCCTTTAGCCTGGGTGTTTTACAAGGAAATTGTTAACGTAGCATCCTCTGTCAGTTTTGGCGTCTCCAATGCCGTTTTCTCCAGATGAGTGCTTGAGTCAGCTCTGTATGGCATCTTCTCTGCTTTGGAGGCTGTGGGACGGTCACTCCTCAGGGCTTGCATACTTTGAGGTGCCTCAGTTCTCCTGTTCTCCAGGGATGACTGCCTCATCTGCCGAGAGAGAAAGGAGAACAATAAACAGTGCAGAGTAAATAGAGGCCAGTGGTGGAAGAAGTAAAGAAATGAAAACAGAGAGGGGGGAAATAACTGCACATGGACAGAACAGAAGAAATTGTGCTGGTGATGGGCTTGAGCATGGCAAGTGGCTTCTTCGAGCACACAAGTCTCAGGCCTGCTGCAGAACTCATCTGCTCTGGCTTTGGCACCCGATACAGCACTTGCATGTCCTTGTTTCCCGTGCCCAGTGAGAAGAGCTGGCTGCAGGTTGGTGCTGTTCTGTTGGAGCTGGAGCAGTAACGTGAAAAAGGGGAAAGTTTTGTGACGCTTGGAGATGAACAGGCAAACTTTGAACTACTGAAGAGATCCTAATCGCCTCAGTTGACATGTCTGTTCCTGGCCGCCTGCTTCTGGTCAGCGGGTGGGCGGCTCCGGGCCAAGCGAGCTGGGCTTTGTTCCCTGAACTGCACTCCTCATGCGCTCAGCTTAGAGCAGTCCCACCGTCTGGGGTTGTCAAAGAAGGCCAAGGGTGGAATGTGCTCAGATCCTTTGATCCCCCACTGGGGACTTCAGGTTGATTTGGGTTCACTCAGGTTGAAAATATGTGTGTTTCCTCAGGACCGCAGCAGGTTATTGCTGCTGTAAGAGAATACTTCATGTCACTTCTGACATCTGTTTCTCCAAAACTTGTTTGCTGGATCCTGCCTGGGTCTCCTTCACGTGGATGAGCCACGCACGCACAGTTCACTGCCTGTCCTCAGCCTCCTGACAGCTTTCAGCATCTATTTCACCCCAAAATACGAGCCATGCACGCACAGTTCACTGCCTGTCCTCAGCCTCCTGACAGCTTTCAGCATCTATTTCACCCCAGAATACCTCCCTTGAGCCACTCTTCTCTGGCAGATGTGCACTCAGCAGCATCTGCAAACCAGAGGAGCCCTAGGCTGCACTCTGTGAGCCTCTGCCCCGTGGTGTTCACAGGAGCTGCCAGGCCTAATTCCAGTCTCTTTCCCAGTATTGCACCCTTCCCACCATTTTGCATTTGTCAGGGCAAAGACCGTGTGGTATTTGCAACAGCATGAAGATGATCCTCAGGTGTACCCCCTGCTACATTCTGAGCCCAAAAGCGTATTGTGCCCCCGCAAAAATGTCTTCTCTTTCAGCAGGGTGAAGGGGATGGTAAGAAGCAGCTTGTTGGTGCTGTGCTGAAGGGATGGTGTTATTGTCTCATGTCCTGCCAAGAGATCAAAGGAAAAGGATCTGGAGCTCCTGCAGGATTGTAAACTCTCCATGGGCCAGCAATGGGCCCTTGTTGCCAAGAGGCCAATGGGATCTTGGGCTGCGTAGGGCAGAGTGTGGCCAGGAGGTGGAGGGAGGTCATTCTCCCCCTCTGCTCTGCACTGGGGAGGCCACAGCTGGAATCCTGCCTCCAGTTCTGGGCTCCCCAGTTCAAGAGAGACAGGGAACTGCTGGAGAGAGTCCAGCGTAGGGCACCAGAGAGGATGGAGGGATTGGAGCATCTCCCTGCTGAGGAAAGGCTGAGAGAGCTGGGGCTCTTGAGCCTGGAGAAGAGAAGGCTGAGGGGAGACCTTCTTCATGCTTCCAAGTGTCTAAAGGGTGGGTTGAGGGAGGATGGAGCCGGACTCTTTCCAGTGGTTCCCACTGACAGGACGAGGGGCAACGGGCACAAGCTGGACCATGGGAAGTTCCACTGCAATGTGAGGAAGAACTTGTTTGGGGTGAGGGTGGCAGAGCCCTGGCAGAGGCTGCCCAGGGAGGGTGTGGAGTCCCCTTCTCTGGAGATCTTCAGGCCCTGCCTGGATGCTCCTGAGTGCTGTGCTCTGGGCAGCCCTGCTTTGGCAGGGGAGTGGGACTGGATGGGCTCTAGAAAGTCCCTTCCAACTCTGACAATTCCCTGATTCTGTGATTCCAAGTGGGGCAGCCTGGAGAGCACGTGTGGGTAGTGATCCCAAGACTCGGCCCAACAGTTGGAGGCATGGAGCGGTCTCTAAGTTCTTTCAAAGGAAAACATAGTGTTCACTAGTCTGTGTGGGAATGTGTCCAGGATTCCAGGATTCTCTTGAAGGGAGTCTCTACCGGTTCCTGTGCTGATGTAGTTACTAGTCTGTGTGGGAATGTGTCCAGGATTCTCTTGAAGGTTCCTGTGCTGATGTAGTCCCCCCCCTGCACTGCTGACCTAGAATTTGGGAGAAAGAGACAAACTAAGGACTGTTGGCATTGGTTCTGTCACCTCGATGTGATCTGACTTGCTCTACTGAGAGGAGGGTTGAGAGGTGGCCAGCACTAATGGAGGAGCTGTTGTAAAAGGGGATAGGGATGGGGATAGGGATAGGGATAGGGATAGGGATAGGGATAGGGATAGGGATAGGGATAGGTTAGTTAAGTTGGCAGGGACCTACAACAACCATCTAGTCCAACTGCCAGGTTATAGCTTGATGGAGTCTGGGACCCTTTGTGAGGCAGCACAGGATCACTCTTGGATCTCGATGCAAAGCTTCCAGGTGCTTGAGCCTGGGCTGGACTTCTCCAGCAGCAATGAGGTTACAGCCAGGAGAACACTGGCAAGGACTCCTCCGTTTGCCACACTTCTCAGGAGTATCCTTCTTTTTTTGCTTTTCCAGCTCCTGTGGTTTCAGTGTGGCTGAGCAAAAAGCTTGTCTGGAGAGGAGTCTCTCTGTTCCTCAGCCTACCCATCTCACCGTTGTTTTCTCCACCTGTGCACATCTCTGGCCAGCATTTCTCAGCCTTTCCTCCGATGTCACCAGCCTTACAGTCCCAGGTTTTCTGCTCTGCAGGGTTGTTTTCTGCTGCCTTTCACTTCGTTGGGCCCGTCAGTAATGACATGGGCTGGCACGATGCTCCGCTTCGTGAAGTTCAGTGCATTGTCCTGTAAAGAACACTCTGTCCTAAGTTATATTTTTTTTTCTTGTTCAAAGATTTAGAGATTTCCTGAGGAGTCTGCAGAGGCTGGAAGGTTAGGAATGACCGTCCCCTTTTAGGGAAGCAGATCAAGCAGGGCCTTTAACAGAAGGTGACCAGACAAGTTTGCTATGAAAATAAACGCCCTCAAAGGGACGTGATTGTCGCCACGCTGAGAGGAAGAGCTCCAGCCCCTCCTCTGGTGATGGGCGTTGTGTGGGGTGAAGGCCACCAGCTTTGCCTGAGCTGTAGAGCTGAGCGTTGCTTCGGTTCAAAGCAAAGGACGTGACCTTAAGGGTTCATCCTTTATCAACTTCTTTTAATCTTCATTTTAATTAAAAGTTGATTAATGTATATAACTGTGCCGAGCTGCCAAATAATCTCGTGCAGCTCCAGGGAGCCCGTGTGAGCCAGCATCTCAACTGGAATCCAGAGCCTGAAACTGGACCACTTGGGGTTGTTTTGGCTCTGCCCGTGAGCGCGATGGGATGGGGCCGTGAGGAAGGTGCAGCCTGGTCTCGGGGACAGAGCAGCTCTATGGTGACAGGGACAAACGTGTGCTGGTACAAGTGGGGAATGTGGGAAAGAAACGCAAGGATTTGGTAAGAATAAAATAAGGAAACAGTGGCAGCCAGGAGCCCTGAAGGTTTGCAGCTCAGATAAGCGTGAGAAACCAGCAAAATTACTGCATTTGGCAGAGATCTTTGCAAAGAGCCACAGACTCCCTGGGAGTTCCCCCCGGTGCTGAGGAAGGGGCACGTACCCACAGAGCGTGATGGTTGGCCCCAGCCGGGGGATCTGGCCGCGCTGCAGAGGACCCGCCCTGAACCCTGGTGTGATCCTTCACCCCCAAACCCCGGGATGGCACGAGGCTTTGCTCCACTCTCCCCTCAAGTCCTGCCTCTAGGGTTTGTCAGGGTCGTCTTAAGAAAAGGTCTGTCTCAGTCTGGGCGAACACCATCAGTCCTGGGCACAGCTCATGAACAAGGGGACATTTCTGATGTGCCATGTCCTCTGCCAGCACGTTCAGCATCCACGGCCACGCTGTAGTAGTTCCAGCCCAGCATCCTGGATGGAGGTGATGACAGAGGATCAGTTCTCCTACGTTGGCTTTCTCCCCTGATGAAGAACTAACAGCCCTCTAGGTTATAGGATCATAGAATGGCAGAATGGTTAGAGTTGGAAGGGCCCGTAGAGATCATCTAGTTCCAGCCCTGGGCAGGGACACCTCCCACCAGCCCAGGTTGCTCCAAGCCCCATCCAGCCTGGCCTTGAGCCCCTCCAGGGATGGGGCAGCCACAGCTTCTCTGGGCAACCTATTCCAGTGCCTCACCACTCTCACAGGAAAGAATTTCTTCCTGGTATCTAATCTAAATCTCTCCTCTTCCAATTTAAAACCATTACCCCTTGTCCTGTCACTGCACTTCCTGACAAAGAGTCCCTCCCCAGCTCACATGGAGCTCCCTTCAGATATTGGAAGGGGCTCTAAGGTCTCTCCGGAGCCTTCTCCTCTCCAGGCTGAACAACCCCAGCTCTCTCAGCCTGTCAATTTTTAGAAGCCCATTAAAAGCCTGTTGTTTTTAAAAACCCATTCTTCTATTCTTACTGTGTATGATGGCTGCCCAACAGCTGGTCTTTACCTGCTGCCAGCTTGTCTACATCTCCATTCTCTTGTCCCTGCTGACTGCCTCCATCTCTGCGTGTCACAGTCTGCCCAGGCATCGTCCCACTTTGCATTTGAACACAAGATGCTGTCCGTAGCCCTGCTCAACTCTTATTTTTTGCCCACCATTCTCTACTCCCTGCACTCCACCCTCTGGCATCCCAAGCTGGACATCCTCCGGAGTACCCCTCTTCTTCCTTCAAGAGCTTCTGAAACCCATCCATATGACCAGCTCGGCTGTACCCCTTCCACGTACAGGTGGAAAGGACAATGTGCCCTCTGTCACACAGTGTGTGTTTTTCTGCTTGACTCTGCTGATCTGGCTTGAATGGATTTGCAGGCTTCTCCGGGCATGGACAAAACCCAGGAAATCCAAGCTAACACAGCCTGACAACCTGACCCTCAAAACATACTGGAGCACTTCTCCCGAGCCCTTCCCTTCTCTTCCTTGCTCTTTATCCAAACTTCTTCTGGTGTGTCGAGTTTTTAGGAAGCCTTAAACTTCTGGTAAAAGCTTTTGGTTGGGACTTCAAGGTGGTGACGCAGTCCCAGGCCAGGCCACACAGTTCTGCTGTGACCTTGCAAAACATGCCTTAAATTCTTAATATAGCACTAAGAGCTCCTCCTTCTTCGGGAGTTGTGCAAGGCAGAACCAGAGGTGTGTGGGGTCAGACGTGGCTGGGTCCCTCCCTGCACGTCCCAGTCCCAGCCTGGGGTTGTTGAAGCTGCTGGGGAGAGCTCCGAGGGAAGTTTTGGCTTTGGAGAACAAGAGTTTGTATCTGTAAAATACATGATATTACATGACTGAAGAATGCTCTGTCTGTTCCCTGTATCTTTAAAGCGTGTCTACGTAGCTTGACACAGGAGTTGCTGGTTACTCCTAGGGTATGAGCCAGTAGAATTGTCTGTCCCTCAGCTGTGCCTTTACCAGCTCTGGAGATCCCAGAGGAGTGACAGCAAGTCCACCCGTTTGGAAAGGAAGCAGTTAAAGTTGTCAAGTTTGCCAGGAAACTGAATAAACTAGAAGCTGTGCTGGAGTCTCAGCCCATTCAGTGGAGACCACAGTGGGAGGCAGTGAGCAGTGCTAACAGTGCTGTAGTGTCTGCAGACGCCCTGGTTCCCCTCCCACCTCCATTTACAGCACTTCTAAAAAAAAAAAAAAAAAAAAAAAAGGATTGGGCTTGAGACCACAAGCTCAGAGCCAGTGGAGCTCAAATGGTCTGCCAGCTGGGCTGCTGTAAGTAGAGCACCGACCACTTCTGGTTGCCTTTGCCATTACTCCTGTGTTTTATCTGTAGCATTCCTTTGTGTCACGCGGGACTGAGACGTACGTGATGTGCAAACGAGATCTTTGCCTTTCCAAATTGCTGCTTTTAATCTTTTTTTTTTTTTTTTTTTTTCCCCTTGGATTTCTCTCGGGAGTGTTCATTTTAATTCTCAGTAAATCTTACCAGGTCTTTTTCACTTTTTGTTCAGGAGAAGAGAGGGGACCCCTGGCCCTGCTGGTGCTACCGGAGGCGTTGGTGGAGAGATCTAGGTAAGGATCACCCCGGCTGTGGGAGACAGGAGCCAGCCCGTGGGCCACTGAGGCAAGCACCATCTCTGCTGGACAAGTGACTAGTGTAAAGGAGACTGAAGAGGTGTTTTTTAAGGCTCTGGTCCCTTTGGGCAGAGACAGGGGAATTAGTTTTATTTTTTGCTTTTCCAGAGCTGGCATGGGAAGGATGAGGCGCTGTTTGGAAGGGAAGAGTTGGCTGCTGGAATGGGCGTTGATTTAGGGCTCTGTTGTTAATCCTGTCAGACTTCTGATTTGGAAAGGGGCTTCATTCCTTTTGAATGTGACTTTAAGGAAGCTCTGTTTACACACCGTGTTTCAGACTGAGCTGATCTGTAAGGTACTTTTTGGGAGCTTGGCAGATCCTTCTCATAAACCTGTCCTGTTTCTGCGTGTCCTATGTCTCTGCATTAAAGGGTGTATCTCCCCTGGGTGTCTGGAAGGCTGTTTGCACAGGAAGCACTCTGGTTGACTGTGGACTGGCAGGATTCTGGATTAACTGTTTCCAGGGCAGAAGCAATAGGTTGGGAAACCGTTGTGGAGGTTATGTGTAACGGCAGTCGTCTTAGGGCTTAGACCTGCTTGAGAAGATGACTTTGTTTGGCATCTCACCAGATTCAGCTCATTTACCTGTTGCTCCTGCTGTGCACTGGCACAAGACACCTATTTTTCCTTCCCTTCCCTGTGACCTGGCGTTGCAAACGTGGCTTCCTTGTGTGTGTGAGATGAGGCGGCACTGGTTAAATATTAGTGGAGGGTGAAAGTAAGTCTTAATCCTGAACTTGGGCTGACAGTTTGTTGTTGTCAGATCCTGCTCCTGGCTGCAGATCTCCCTGGTTTGCCAGGCTGGCACGGCAGTGGAGGGATGGAAACCTCTGTCTGAACGGAGCCTCTCTGAGTGCTGAGGTTGGTCCCTCTCCAAGGTGATGCCTTAAAGAAAGAGAAGTCCTGTGTGCAGCTGAGTCTTGCTTAAGAATTTGAGGAGGTCGTGAAATGGAGGCTGTGGCTTCTCTGACCTGGGATGATGGGCACCAAGAGGGAAAGAAACAGGCCCTGGAGAGAATTTCCTCATTCCTCTCTCCTGTCCCACCCTGTTTGTTTTCCTATGCAGTAGGCTACTGCGGAGTACGAAAAACCCCTCTGTGTGTGTGTGTCCCTGGTTAACCGTGCAGCAGCGAGGCAGGTGCTCCATGAGGTCTGTGCCCTTCAGGGGTGGAAATGCTTCGAAACTCCTGATCCTGCTGCAGCCACAGCCCGTCCCAGCTCCCCTCTCCAGGGCGTGCTCAGGAATCACTCTGGTGCCTCTTTCTCTGCAAACATGTGGAGCCGACAGCAGTCGAGAGGTCAAGTCACCCATTCAGACAAAAATACCTGCTCCTGAAGTCCTGGGTTTGTACAAGACTAAACCTACTTAAAGAATTTGTGATAACAGAAACTGGTGTGTGGGGATTTTTTCCTCCAGGTGTGGAGTCAGACTTGTTAAAGACAGTGTCCTTCTTTTCATGAGGCGCACAGCCCCGTGGGAGTCAGCTTAAGAGTGAGCAAAAGCAAAGCAGAGATTTGCAGCTTGAAATATTACACAGCCATTAACCTGTTGCTGCGGCTGCCCTAGATACTGTTTTTCACCCCAAGGCATAGGGAGAGACCTCCTAAGTTGTAACTCAGAGGCTGATTGTACTGGGGTGTTCCATGGATATGATTTATTTTTAAACAGAAGTTCACCCACGTGTTGGTTACCTTTAGTAACACAAAAGACACCTGAGGTGGCTCAGTCTGGGTTATTTCCTCTTATGCTACTTAATCACAGAATCACAGAATCTTCTAGGTTGGAAGGGACCTTAAAGATCATCTTGTCCAACCGTCAACCTCACTGACAAAAATAGACACCCACACAACAAACAAGGAGCATCATCACTAAACCAGACCTCCCAGCACTACATCAACCCATCTTTTGAACACCTCCAGGGATGGTGCCTCAACCCCCTCCCTGGGCAGCCCATTCCAATGCCTGAGAACCCTTTCAGTGAAAAAATTGTTCCTAATATCCAGCCTGAACCTCCCCTGGCGCAACTTGAGGCCATTTCCTCTCGTCCTGTCGCCTGTGACTTGAGAAAAGAGACCGACCCCCACCTCTCTACACCCTCCTTTCAGGGAGTTGGAGAGAGCAATAAGGTCTCCCCTCAGCCTCCTCTTCTCCAGGCTGAATAACCCCAGCTCCCTCAGCCTCTCCTCATGAGACTTATTCTCCAGACCCCTCACCATCTTTGTCGCCCTTCTCTGGACCCGCTCCAGCCCCTCAATGTCTTTTTTATGGTAGGGGGCCCAAAATAATATCCCATCCTTTTCAGGATCTGATAAAATGCCTTTCAGTGTTGGGTAACTGCTGCAGGGGCTGGATTTGGTGTTGGAGCACGAGTCCAGCAGGGTGGGATGGAGCTACGCAGGTGAGCGTCCACCACGGCCCGAGACCCTGCCCGTCCACCCGCAGCCACTTGTGAACCCTCCACCTTCTCGTTTGTTCATACGCTGGAAATACCCAGAGAACACGTCCCCTGGTTCTCCCTTTCTGAAGACCAAGTGATGAAGACCAGATGATTAGTGAAAAGTTGGAGACAACCCAACCACGGAGGGAGTTTTTAATCTGGTAAAAAGCCAGGGCTTCTGTGGAGCGTGTTGGAACCTGCCGAGTTTGGCGGGAGCTTGAAATCCTAAAATGAATAACTAATGGAATTGGACAGTAGTCACTGGGGAGAATGTTGAAACCAAAGCAAAAGCAGTGTATGGACCAACTGGCAGAAGAAGAGGGAGGAGCCAAGATTCTGGCTGGGGGAGAGGGGAGGTTCTTACATTAGTTCTTTCCTCTTGCTTTGATCCCGTGGTGTACAGTACTTTGGCTCTTCTTCTTCCTTCCCTGCTGCTAGAGATGATTGGAAGTTTGTGCCTCTTGGCAACAGGATTCCTTTCCCAAGTGTTTGTATTTTGGGACTTCAGTTCAGCACTTGAGCATTGAATCTCTGGACCAGTGTAATCTTCAAAGCTACGCTATATGAAAACCACCCCATTTCTTCTTTGGTAATGCTTTCCTGGGCCAGGTGAGCGTCTTCTTGCATTAATCTCTCTTTTTTTTTCCTCCCCCGGACACTTTTCTGAGCTGTTTTTCTGGTCTTAATATTGAAGTACAAATCAGGGGCGGAGTGAGCTAAAACTATTAGCAGAAATACGGACAGGGAATACCTTCTGCTTTTAGGCAGTGCCATTAGATTATATTACAAGTTAACTTTCCAGGGGAGTTATTGTGAAGTTGTCTCATGCAATAAGAGGCTACAAACTTGACGGAGACACAGGAGATCCCTGAGCTGTGTGTCACTGGCGTAGCTTGTCCCAGGTGTCTTGGCTTCAGGTGCATTATTTCATTTCAGCGTTTGCCAGGTGTATTCATTCTTGTTCATTCTTGAGTTCTTTCCCAGCACTGCTGACTTGTTTCCTTCTCTTCCCCAAACCTTAAACTTCTCTTGTTGCTCTTTATATTTGAAGCCCGCAGTCTGTTGAGATCCCCCCCTGTCCCTGCTGCTCTGGCAGTCCTGTCCTGGGCCACCGGTGGCTCATGTCATAAGGTCACTGTCACCAACTGAACCAGCCCCACCATCAGCCTGTTGCCCTGTGGGGTTTTGTTTGCTGGTGCTGCTTTTGGTTCAGAAAGCTCTTTTAGAGTTTCATTTCCCCTTTCTAATCTAAATATATTCATGCCTATCCCTTCAAAAACCATACTGTCTTTTAGCTTAAAGAGGTTTTTTTTCCCAGTTTTAAACACTCCTGATGATTTATCTGGAATGAAGTATGTCTTCCCTCGTTTTTATTTTTTTTTAATGTTAATTTGACAAAGTGTCTGTACTCTGTTTTCTATTTTACTTGGTTTTGCTGGAGTGCTGGGCTAGACTGGGAGGACACACACTATTCCAGACAAGGTCTAGGACAGCAGTGTCACTGCTTGTGTCCCCTGCCCTGTGCTGGGGTGGCTTTGCCCGGCACACGCTGTCGGTTCAGGACTGACTGGTATTCCCAGGTTGTTTTCTCTCCTGTTGCTCTTTCCACCCGGGGACCTTTCATTTCACACCAGAAACTGTCCCAGGCTCCATCCCCAGTCCTGCTGGGGTGCAGAAGCCTTGTCCACATCTAACCACGAGGTGTATTTTTAACGTAGCGTGTCCAGACATACCTGATGGGCAGTAACCAGATTAGGGATTTGGACTGGCAGCCTTTTGAGTGTTTCTGTTGTTGTGTGTAACGTGATTAGAGGGGGGATGTGACAATGCAAAGCTCATGGAAATGAAATTGGGTTGCCTGTGGCTACTGCAGACCTTTGCCTGGTAATAGGTCTTGTACCACCTAACACAATTTCTTTGTTAAACATGTTCCCAATAAAATGCCTAACTGTCAATTAAGAGAAATATTGTAATCCCATCCTTTAGTATATGCAATTTAAAGTGGGGATTGAGATAATTTTGCCTCTTGCCTGACTGCAATTGAGGAGAGACTTAGGTTTTTTTCCTCTCAGAGATAAGAAATGTTCCCTTATGCTGAGAGCTTGTTCCCATGTGCTACCTCAATCAGATTAGGCTGCCGTTCTGGCAGGAGTGTTTGGGATGGTGCAGGCAGTGTGATGATGTAAAGCTCAGAGGGACACACCTCCTTTAAACTGCCCTGCTCACTCTGCTGCGTGTGCTCTGGAGTCAGTGCAGGACCAGGAGGATGCTCCAGAAGTTTATCCAGAGGCAGTAGTTCTCGGCGACTGAGGCTATTTCCTCCTGCAGTAGCAGCAGAGACACCAGATTCTGTTTAGAAAAGTGCTTTTCATTATTTGTTTCTTTGTTTTTCAGGGTGCCTCTTTTCTAGGTGCCTTTTTGAATACCTCTGTGGTGAAGATGTCTCACCCCATGAACAGCTCCATGTTGCCAGCCACTCATCCTCCTGAACATCAGCACTCAACGGCAGCCCCAGGACACGGGCATGGATCTGACATGATGATGATGGTGAGTGGAAAAGTCATAATTAACCAGAGAGCTTTTCCTTGTGTGTGGTTCAGAGTGACTTGTCATCTTAAAGACTAGGCTCTTGAGAATGAGAAGTTAAACTTCCTTTTGGAAGGTGCCAATCAGTTCAGTTAAAACACAGACCCCGTTGTGGCTCTCCTGGGATGAAGGAGTGGCATGAGGTGATGTGCAACAGGACATGTATTTCAGAGCTGGAGATCTTTGGCAAAATGGTCTTTCCTTGCAAAAACCTTTCTAGCAGCCAGCCTGGTGTCTGCTCTCTAGTCAGCTAAAGGCAGAAATGCAAAGTAAGCATTTACCTGCAAGAAATGATGGATGGAGTTCTCCAGGGCTGTTAGCGATAGCAAAAGCCTTAGCTGGCACCGAGAAGATTGCAGGCTATTATGATGGGTTGTGGTGACCTGCAGGTCACCAACCTCTGTGCCTTTTTCCTCGTGAACTTTTCAGTGCGTGCTGGGTTTGGGGAGGGAAGTGCTGGCAGGGCTGTGCCGCGTGGCGGTGAGGCTGTGTTGGTCCTGGACCCTGCTGCTCTCGCCAGCTTTGATGGAAACCAGTTGAGACTTGTGCACGCTGGCAGCGCTGGAGCTTTGCAGAGATCCTGGCCAGAGTTTCCCTGGAGATGACTGTAGGGATCTGTGTTTGTGTGTAGCCAGTTCTAAGGACTTTTTCAGCTTTTTCTCCCTTTTCTAAATGCTTTTGGAGTGAGTTTCACGTTAGTAAAATGTCACTCTTTATGGTTAAACTTTGGAAGGAGGGGAGAGAGTGTTCATTTCTGTCTGAAATGAGAATATACTCAGGAGTATATTTTGCAAACTTTCAGTTATGGTTTGCCTGCCAGCTCTGTGCCCCAAAGAAGGAATGGAGAATCACTGCTTCCACTTGTGTTGCAGACAGTATCGGAGCAGGAGAAGAGAGGACTAGGACAGACTTCCCTTTTGAGAGCATGGCCCAGTACAAAGCCCAGTGCTTTGGGCAGCCCAGCACTGGCACTGATGCCCTTGTGAAGTTCTTCATATAATCTAACAGCTTTTTGGCACTGTCTGATCCATTAATTCCTGTATATATGTCATTTCTTTACAAGCGGCAAATGCTCTTACCTTCCATGGAGAGTTGCTTTACCCTGCAACTAAAAACTGTGATTGTGATTTTGAATTAACTTGCTTTACCCTGCAACTAAAAACTGTGATTAATTGTGATTTTGAATTAATGTTGCACATAAAACTGCCAGGAAAGGAAGTAAATAAGCACCTTAGTCATTTTAATGTATGCCCGTTCCCATTCCTCCCTCCCACCAAATAACAGCCTGTGTTTCAGCTGTGGTTTATGGAACTGGGCTGCAACGCTCTTCGGTTTGTGCGGTTTTCGTTTGAAATGTAAAAATGTTAGGTTCATTAAAGAAATGGAAGTACCGTCTAAAAGACTTTTTTAAAGTAATTTCTGCTCTGGGTGTAATGAAATTAATCATCGTTCTGCTCTTCAGCAAATAACCTTAATTAAGCAATGAGGGGAGTTCAAAGGGGAGTTCCTGTAGCTTAGTGAGCACTTTACATGTGAAAAGCCTGAATGTGGCTGTGGCCAAGACGCGCTCAACCGCAGTGTGTTTGCCTGGATGGGAAGATGGTAGGAACTCCAGCTGCCCGGGGGATCACTGGTGTCTCCCCTTCCCACAGCATTCCCAAGGCAGGCTCAGGAGCCTGTGTTTTCACCCAGGGGAAGCTGCAGTCATGCTTTTTATATGTAATACTCCTTGTTGTGCCTGTATTTAGGCCTCTGTTTCCCATAGGAGCTTAGGAGGTTCTGTAGGGGACAGCAGTCTGCCTGCACGGTGCAGGAGGGGACCAGAGGACCGAGCTATACAAGCCCTCCCCAAGGTGGGGAGAAGAAAATGCCCTGGACCCCAGCCCCTGTGTAGTCCTGGGAACCCAAGGGTGAGCTCCACAGAGACATCGAAGAGCGATTGAAGGAGCTGGGAGTGCTTAGTTTGAGGAAGAGGAGGCTGAGGGGTGACCTCATCACTCTCTACAACTACTTGAAAGGACACTGTAGAGAGGTTGGTTGGTGCTGGTCTCTTCTCCCAGTTAATGAGTGATAGAACAAGAGGAAATGGCTTCAAGCTCCAACAGGGTAGGTTTAAACTGAACATTAGGAAAGAGTTTTTCAAAGAAAGAGTGGTCAGGCATTGGAACAGGCTGCCCAGGGAGGGGGTTGAGTCACCATCCCTGGATGTGTTCAAGAGTCGTTTAGATGTGGTGTTGGGGGATATGGTGTAGGGGAGAACTCTGTAGAGTAGGGGAGATGGTTGGACTCGATGGTCCCAAGGGTCTTTTCCAACCTGAATGATTCTATGATTCTATGATCCCGCACCCCTAATTCTGATGCAGAGGAGAAAAGCAGCTCCAAAAGCAAGGAGAGGGCACTTTTCCATAGCAGGTACCATGAAGACCAGTGCCTTCTGCCCAGGGCACTGCCCAAGAGCTGTGCACTAAAACTGGAACCCGAAGCACCTTTAGCCGTGTGTCGCTGGTGTGTGTTACACTAGAATTACTGAAGAGTTTCTTCGGGTCTGTCTGGTGGCCAACTGAGATGATCTAAGTTCTTGTAACAACACAAAAACCTTTGCTAAATCTTACAGTGAGCTCCATCTCAAGGTGAGCTATTCAGGCTCATCTTGATGTTCTTTGTTTTTGGGCAGGCAATGACTTTCCAGTTCAGCTATGAGAATGTGCCCTTGCTGTTTTCTGGACTTACAATCAATACTCCTGGAGGTTAGTAAAACTGTCTTGTCCAGTCCAAACAAAAAGTTCACAATTGATCAATGTTTCAGGAATTCCCTTGCTATTTGTGCCAAAAATATGCAGACCCACTGCATCGAGGCTGCTTAAAATGGCATCTGTGCGGTGAAAGAAAGAAATTTGTATAGTTTGAGAATTTACTGGTCTTATGAGCAAAAGTGATTGCTGGTTTCACCTCCCGGGTGAAATTCCAAGTTGTGGGTGGGTGAAATATTCACATCTGCCATCTGCAGCTGCGTGTGCTGTGCCCGGTGTGACGCGGTTGTTGAATCCCACCGTGTCTCTTCTGACCTGTTTTTTTGAAGCCAAAGTCTTCTACTCCACAGATCCAATGCTGTTTTCCTCTTTTGTCAGAAATGGCTGGTGCTTTTGTGGCTGTCTTCTTCCTGGCCATGTTTTATGAAGGCCTTAAGATTGCTCGAGAGTGTCTGCTCCGTAAATCCCAAGTCAGCATTCGCTACAACTCCATGCCCGTGCCGGGTCCCAACGGCACCATCTTGATGGAGACGCACAAAACCGTTGGGTAAGAATTTCCCTTCCTTCTAAAACAAAAAAGGCAAAAACTGGGACAGAAAGAAAACTTCATGCAGCCAGTGTTACTCTCTGCAAAGTATGTTGAGTCCGGACGGGGACACTGCTTGACACTGGAGGACACTGTGCTCGAGTCACTTGGTCACCTTTTAGGTTGGGGGATGAAAGGAGGAAAGCAGAAAGGGGACAGATAAGGTTGGTTTTTACCCCAGAGCAGAAACAAACACATTTGGGGACAGAGTTTGGGTGTTACAGCCAGCAACCCCGACAGAAAATCCTTAGGATCCTTCTGTTGACAGGTAGTCAAAGCCTTTTTACTCAGAAAAGAAACCGTTCTGCTTGAATGTGGGGGTAAAATAACCTTGTAGAAGTCTGTTTCTCAGCTAAAAGTGTCCTCCTCCCAGCAAGTACCACCCTTTCTTTGTTATCAGTCAGCCCTGTGGGGCAAAACACAGTTCCAAGCGAGAGCTGCACGCAGAAGTCTGTGTCCAGCCTGCTTTGTCACCTCCTCTGCCACTTCATCCCCACCTTGGCATCCTGGCAGCCCCAGAGCCAAGTTTTCTCTGGGGGGGGGATGTGCGTTTTCCCGGCTGTGTCTGGCGGGTGCTGACCCTTCTCTGGGCTTTGTGTTCTCAGACAGCAGATGCTGAGCTTCCCTCACCTCCTGCAGACTGTCCTGCACATCATCCAGGTCGTGGTCAGTTATTTCCTCATGCTGATCTTCATGACCTACAACGGGTACCTCTGCATAGCGGTGGCGGCGGGGGCCGGGACGGGCTATTTCTTCTTCAGCTGGAAGAAGGCAGTCGTCGTGGATATCACAGAGCACTGCCATTAACACCAGGTGCTGCCCAGAAGCCCCACTGCTCTCCTGAAGCGCAGCCGTCAACGAGGACTGGATCATTCCTAAGCTGAAAGAGAAATTAATATAAAGAAAATCAACTGGAGTTCACCACGAGTTCCTAACGGGGCCGTGGGGACGCGAGGAGCTGGGGGGGGCTGCTCCCCCTCGCTGCAGGCTGGCAGCAGGGCTGACTCTTGAGGGTCCCCGTGGTAGCCAAGAAGGCTAGGGTTTGCTTTATTCTTAGATTATGCCGTGATTGAAATTAGTTGGCTGACAGAAATGTAGAAATTATTCTTTTTTAAAAAAAAAAAATATTTTTAAATTGTAAACGCTTATCTACGAGGGTTTTATGAACAGTAGGTTGAAGATCAAAGTTGCCAATGGAGCCTACGTGTGTGAACAGCTACTTTAATTTTACTTTTTTTTTTTTCAAGATGTACATAATGCCGGGGGGAGGATACCTCCCGGATATTGTGGCTTTTGGGGCCAATGACACCTTCTGTTGCAGAAGGACTCAGCCTCCGAGGAAGACTTGGTGCTGCACATCAGACACGCTCAGCTGGGTCCTGGCAAGGGAGCTCCCTGACACGAGGACGTCACCGGGTGCTGCAGGGGGGCTGGGTGGCTCTGTCCCCCAGGCCCATCAGAGCACCATGACTGGTGTCAATCTGCTGCTGTCGCCAGCAGCTTCGCTCAGCTCCGAGTGGGAACGTTTGGCTTTGGCTGCTCTCGCTTCCCAATCCTGGAAATACACGGAGCAGACACAGGACAACAGCTGCGTATTCACAGGAGAGAAAAAAAGATTTTCAAGAAACCATCGAAACCGCGTTTACTTCATGTTGAATTGCACCTGGATGGAGCTAGAGCTAGACTTTTGGTTTGCTAAAACCAGTTCTGTAAATCAGGCAGGAGTTAAATAATGATTTCATGACACTAAAGGCTAAAATGTCTGAAGAGGGCATTCCTTGTTTAAGATAAAGGAAATAAAACAACTGTGATCCTGTAAAGGAGAGGTGTGGGGAAGAGAAGAAAGACAAGGTAGCAGCCTTTGGTCTCTTCTCAGGTGAAATTTGGAGTAGCTTGGGCTGATTAAAGAGTATTCCTGACCCAGATGACTCCTCTTTGTCTTAATAATCATGCTGTGACCATGTCAGCTTGAAGGTGCATGGATTGTCAGTGCCAGTGGTGGAGCACAGTCAAGAGCTTCCCGCTCGGTGCCGAGAGCTCCCCCTTTCACCCCAGGCCAGGCTGGGACCCGGGCAAAACCAGTGCCCTGCACGCCCAGAGCAGCTTTGGGTTTTCTAGGAAGCAGTTTTGGTTTAACGTTTCATTATTAAACTGCTTCATGTTGTAGGGAAGGCCGAGCAGGGGACCGTGCACAGCTGGAGGCTTCCTGCTGCCCAGGATGCCCAGTTTGTGCCAGTAACTGGCTGAAAGGGAAGACGGTGGCATTTTGAGAAGGGCGCTGAAAAACAAGCGTCGTGTTCAGAGTGGGACTGCTGGCTGGGACGTGCCACAAGGGCAGGGAATCCTTTGGAGCTGAAAGTAGCGTTTTTTCCTCCAGAGATGGTGCTGGCCACGCCGTTAGGGACAGCTGTGTAAGGAACCTGATCTCTGTGACAAGGAATTCCATTTCTTTAGCCCAAAAGCCTTACAGGGCGAGGCCCATTCCCATCTATGGGGGTTCTTCTGGGCTATTCCCCCAGCCCAGAGCCCCACCTCGACCTCCCACCCTCTTCGAAAGGCAGGAGGAAACCAGTTACTGCTGCTATCAGGATCTTGAATTGCACCACCTAAAGTCCACCAGCCTGGGCTGGTGCCATCACTTTGGACATCTTGTTTCTTTGGGCAGTGCAAACACAGAATAGAAGGAGAAGGGTTAAAAACAGGCTTAGGTTTCTGAACAGCTTCTTTCTGTAGCAAATCAGCATCTGTGTGAAAGAGGCGAAGTTCTTTTCATGGAAAAAGTCTAGTCTAGTCTCATCTCCTGATGAGAGAGAGGAAGAGCTCTTCCCTGGTCTGGTCTTTGGTGGGAGTTGTGGCTGTAACAGGTAGAGAAAGGCCATACCAACGCCCTCTCTCTGCATCTCTCAGGGAGGTAAAAGTCTTCTGTGGCCTCAAAGCAGCCACGTCCCTCCGTGAGAGCAGAAACCAGACCCCTCAGTCCCTGCGAGAGCCGTAAGGAAATCACAGCACTTCTCTGTGATTCTGTGATTCTGGAAGTCAGTCATGGCAGCACTAGCTCCAATTCTGTGATTGTCAGAAACTCGAAGCAGTGAAGAGCTGGAGATGGTGGTTTCTGTTCTGAAAGTTCTGCGCTGCAGGGGCTTAGTCCCCGAAGCAGGTCAGAGCCGACCCCGCTCCCGGGGGCTTCTCCTGAAGGAGCTGGAGGTGTGGCCGTGCCAGGGGTGTCTGGTTATAGTCACAAGTGGCTTTGTGTGATGATCCTAATTACATCATATACCTCTTGCTGTGTCCTTCTCTAACATAGAACCTCTGCTCGGCCTGATCCTGCTGTCACCTTTCAGCCACCTTTCCTTGTATTCAAGTGACCAGACGTGAATTCTCTGATCCCGGTGATGGGAGAGGGATGACTTGGAGATCAGGCAACAGCTGTGGCTTTTGCAGCATAAATTGGGTTCTTGGTAGCTTTTCTGCCTCCCTGTGTGTAGCATCTGTGCCCTCCAGATTGTTTCCCTCCCCTGAGGATGAGTATCTCTGTCTTCGAAGGTCTCCTGCCCACCCAGGAGGGCCAAGCTTTGGCCAAGCTTTCTCTTGGTTCAGTGTCGACAATCCAGAGGAGCCACCTACCTCCCTGTGTCCCACCCTTCCCCTGAGCCACCAGATGCCACCGGTTGTCACGTTCTTGGCCCAGGTTGCTGCTGGCTTTGCCGGAATCCAAGCAAAACCTGGCCTCCCGACCGAGGACAGGATTCTCCTGACCGCTTTTGTGCGGTCCCAGCCTTTGAAGGGTGTCCTGCTCGTGATAAACTGGCGGTAGGTAGTGCTCGGGGAGAGGTGAGGACTCTCATCCTTACGAGACTTGAGTCCCCTGAGCCACCAGATGCCACCGGTTGTCACGTTCTTGGCCCAGGTTGCTGCTGGCTTTGCTGGAATCCGAGCAAAACCTGGCCTCCTGACCGAGGACAGGATTCTCCTGACCCCTTTTAAGGTGTCCTGCTCGCGTTAAACTGGCGGTAGGTAGAGCTCGGAGGGAGGTGGGGACTCTAATCCTTACGAGACTTAAGTGAAATTCTTCTGTCACCACACGTGTAGCCCCTGCTTGGGATGTGATGTCCTGCCTCCCTTTGTGCCCTGATGCTTGGTCTCCCCATGCTGTCCCTCTGGCTCATCACCTGGCAGAGGTGCTGGCTGCCTTCAGCAGCTGCTTTTATTGTTTCTCTTCGAGTGCCTTTTCAGTTTGTCTGGAGCCAGTCCCACCAAATCCAGCAGGATTTCTAGTTTTGTTTACAGTGGACTGTCGTGGGTTTTTTTTTTTTTGTTTTACTCTTGCTCTTTGTGGAGGTAACTTGTCTAATGTTACTGTGAATATCAAGAATCTCCTGTATATAATTAACCAATAAACTAGATTGCATTTTACTGTGGTGTGTGTGTGTTTTGGAAACAATCCCCAATGCTGGGAGGAGTGGAGGCTGCTGGCTCTCGCTGCAGCGTTGAGGAAGTGACTCCCAGTGTGTCTGCTCTTACCAGCCTGGCCGTGCCCAGCCCCTTTGCTCTGGCAGGACTCTTCTGGCATCCTGGGGGGCAGCAGGAAGAGTGTGAGCAGCAGGTGGAGGGAGGTCATCCTGCCCCTCTGCTCTGCCCTGGGGAGGCCCCAGCTGGAGCACTGGGTCCAGTTCTGGGCTCCCCAGTTCCAGAAGGACAGGGAACTGCTGGAGAGGGGACAGCAGAGGGTACAGAGATGATGAGGGGCCTGGAGCATCTCTGGGATGAGGAAACTTGAGTCTGTGTAGTTTGGAGAAGAGAAGGCTGAGGGGGGATCTGATCAACACCTATAAATACTTCAAGGGTGGGTGTCAGGAGGATGGGGCCAGGCTTTTTTCAGTGGTGCCCAGGGACAGGACAAGAGGGAACGGGCACAAACTGGAACATGGGAAGTTCCATCTAAACATGAGGAGGAACTTCTTTGCTGTGAGGGTGGCAGAGCCCTGGCAGAGGCTGCCCAGGGAGGTGGTGGAGTCTCCTTCTCTGGAGACATTCAAACCCACCTGGACACGTTCCTGTGGGACCTGCTCTGGGTGGCCCTGCTCTGGCAGGGGGTTGGACTGGATGATCTCCAGAGGTCCCTGCCAACCCCATAGTATTCTGTCAGTCTGTGCCCACCGTGGTGGTGGGACTGAGCAGCCGGGTGGCTGGGGACAGGAGTGAGGAGCAGTGTCCCCTGGGCCTGCCCCAGCCACCAGCGAGGAGCCCTGACGCTGCAGGAAGGGGAACGTGGGGAATCCCTGATGCCTGAGTCGCCTTTTGGTCCAGGGTGTGGGGAAAGCCGAGACGGAGGCAGGAATTGCTGCCTCCCAGATCTGCTTTCCCCTACAGAGGAAGGAGTTGATGGCCAAGAGTTTTGGGGAGCTCTAAATGAGCCCCCTCAGTGTGTGGAGGTGTCTGCAAGGAATAGCCCTCTCCCTCCCAGAGTTTTCTCTGGTTGGTCTTTCTTTCCCTGTGCAACCAGAGGATGGCTGGAACCCACGGAGATGTTTCCCTGTCAGGCCGTGCTGGGAATGCTGGAATAGCAGAGCAATCCCTGAGAATGGTTATGTGGTGCCAGACTGGGAAAGCAGCTCTGCTCTAGGCCACACCGTGGCTCTTCCCAGTTTGAATAGTTTAAATTCTGTACACGTCCCCAGCCCGACATGAAATGTGATGCACCTACAGCACCTGAAGCATGAATTTACCAAGTGCTGTTTGGAGCTTTGCTTGAGACACTGAGAAAACAACTGATTGCTGTGCTGGAAGCTGGTACCAAAGAGTCCCAGCCAGGAGCAGAGCCAGCCTCCAGTTCCAGCCCAGTGCGGGCTCCAGGGCTGCTCCACCCTGCTCTGCTGGAGGGAGTGGAGCTTCTGGAGCTTCTGGAACACCAGATGCTTCAGTCTTTATCACGGAATCATGGAATTGTCAGAGTTGGAAGGGACCTCTAGAGCCCATCCAGCCCAACTCCCCTGCCAAAGCAGGGCTGCCCAGAGCACAGCACTCAGGAGCATCCAGGCGGGGCTTGAAGATCTCCAGAGAAGGGGACTCCACACCCTCCCTGGGCAGCCTCTGCCAGGGCTCTGGCACCCTCACCCCAAACAAGTTCTTCCTCACATTGCAGTGGAACTTCCCATGGTCCAGCTTGTGCCCGTTGCCCCTCGTCCTGTCCCTGGGAACCACTGGAAAGAGTCCGGCTCCATCCTCCTTCAACCCACCCTTTAGA